CTGTATGAATGTTGTTTATAAAAAATCCAATTAGACACTGACACAGAGCTAAAATAAACGGTAATTATAAAAACATGTTTCCATTACAATTCTGGAATTCAGTAAGTACAATCAAGGATACAACCTCAGTTTTCCCTATATGTATATGTGTGTGTGTGTGTATATATATTTATGTATATATATATTTTTTGAGATGGAGTATCGCTCTGTCACACAGATTGGAGTGCTGTGGTGCAATCTCGGCTCACTGCAACCTCTGCCTCCTGGGTTCAAGCAGTTCTCCTGTGTCAGCCTCTCAAGTAGCTGGGATTACAGGTGTGCAACACCATGTCCAGCTAATTTTTGTATTTTTGGTAGAGACAGGGTTTCACCATGTTGGCCAGGCTGGTCTCGAACTCCTGACCTCAAGTGATCCATCCACCTTGGCCTCTCAAAATGCTGGGATTACAGGCCTGAGTCACCACTCCTGGCCAGTTTTCCCTATATTCATCCATATCTTTACTTCTAATTGCAGAGTGTGTGAAATGAATTCCAAAAGATCTTTGCAAGAAGGCTAAAATCTTTACTTCTAATTGCAGAGTGTGTGAGATGAATTCCAAAAGATCTTTGCAAGAAGAGTAATCAGACTTACATAATATGCTTTTGATGACTTAGGCTTTGCACCCATAAACCACAATGAAGTGCATTAAACTTTACAGCAAAAATTTCCCCCACATCCTTACAGAGAACAGAAGGAAAAGATAAAAGTTATAAATTTAAGGATAAGAATGTGAAGAAAAAATTCCAGGTTTTAAAAGTTCTCTGTTCAGCAAAAACATTTAGTACATTTCAACAAATGTGAATACTATTTTGAATTTTACATATATCACATGGAAAATTACTTTTTAAATGTGGAATTGACACAACAGTTTGTGGTTAGACTATGGTAATCTCTTGCTAGGAAATTCTAGAATAACTCATATAATTTGCTATCAGCAGCTTTCTAGTTTAACAAACGCAGTAAAATTTTAAAAACAACTGCAAGCTTTTCTGTACAGAATCACCTTACCACACTAATATATCAATACTGGTATTTTTTTTCAAAAAGGAAAAAAATGGCAGTTGTCATTCTTTCATCACACTGCTTAAAATATTTCTGTCTAATCTCAAAAATTTTGTCTTACTCTTTATAAATCAGGTCTAGTTTCTTTTCAACAACTATAACAGTTTTTTTTTTCAGTGGATTAAAATGTTGCTGCTTTATAATAAATAATACTTAAACTGAAACACACTATAGCTCCTTTCCTTGCGATGAAAAAATTTAAAAAAGTTATGTAATTGGCACGACACTTTCTAAATAAAACATACTAAATAAGGCTCACAATGTGCAGTTTTTAATATGTGACATGTATTAGTCTGTTTTCACACTGCTATAAAGAAATACCCGAGACTGGGTAATTTATAAAGGAAAGAGGTTTGATTGACTCACAGTTCCACGTGGTTGAAGAGGCCTAAACTTGCAATCATGACAGATGATGAAGAGGAAGCAAGGACCTTCTTCACATGGTGGCAAGTAGGGGAAATGCTAGACGCTTATAAAATCATCAGTTCTTGTGAGAACTCACTCACTATCATGAGAAAAGCCTGGGGGAAACCTCCCTCATGATCCAATCACCTCCCTTCCTTGACATGTGGGGATTACATCTCAGTGATAAAGGAAGCCCCCAATAATTATCTGCTAAATTCCAAAAACAAGGATGTTTATTTTACATGATACGGTGAATAGAACATAGCAGGACTTAAGAGACAGTCAACTGGCAATTGTAGAATAATTCAATATATCTGTCTTCCACCAGAATGACCAAAAGAACATTTGCAGACTTCTGATTCTTATGTGGAATTACTGTGTAATGTCCAATTTTCTAACCCCAACATGTGATATATTCTTTGGTTCATAAACATCTGAGAGAAGAAAAAAAAATTGAATTATTCTAAATGCTATAGTTAGTACTTTCCTCCATTGTTTTCAATTATTTAGTCTAAATTAACTTGGTGTGACTAAGGGAATTAGTCTAAGATTGTAATAACCAAACAAGGTTGTTATGACCCAAATCTAACTGAAGTATTCGAGTTATTACTTGAATAAAGTCAAGTGAGTTTTTTAAAGTAATCTGGAATGACAGTTTTTTTTTTTTTTTTTGAGACAGAGTCTTGTTCTGTTGCCCAGGCTAGACTGCAGTGGCGTGATTATAGCTCACTGCAGCCTCAATCTTCTGGCCTTAAGCAATCCTTCTGCCTTGGCCTCCCAAAGTGCTGGGATTACAGGCATGAGGCACCATGCCCAGCTGGAATGGCAGTCTTAACTATGTTAGCAGAAAGAGAGTAGAATTCATCCTTTCCAAATTACTTTCTGGTCTGTGATCATGGAGACTTTGAACTAAGCAGAAGGTAATATAATCTATGTCTTCGCTAAAAGCATCACTGCTTTCTTTTATCTACTTAGGTGAGTCATGCTTGGGGACATTAAAAAATCATCAATAGGATCATTGTCTTGAAACAATGGGCAAACATAATTATCCTTTGTAGCAACTGTAAATACCAACTTAAAATGCCATAAAAAGGATCTGGTCTGCTTTTCTTTTCATCTCCAACAATATCCGGGAAGGAGATTTCAAAATGGAAAGCCTTCTATTTTTGTTTGCACAGCCTGCACAGGCATTTGCTCCCACAGATGTTCCACATTTGCACACAGGAAAGGAGCATGTCTGAAACCCACCTCCGCTGTTACAAAATGATGACGATACTCAGTAGCATTTTCTTCTTTCATAGAAGTTTTATTAAATGGTTTAAGATACTCATCCTCTATGACCATTGGGACTATCTGTCCTAGAATTACATTTTGGTGGGCCTCGTCACCCCTCTACCCCTCTAGGACAATAATGAACTGCTTGGTGTCAGAAAAGTGCTAAATATATGAAGATATTTTCTGGCTTATCTTTAAAGGAGGTTAATAATTGTCTTAAAGAGACTTAAGCATCAATTAAAACAAAATGCAATTATTTTACTGCCAGCTTATGTATCCAAAAATGATTGTGCTTTATAAAATAGTAATGACAAAACTATTTCTAACTGTACATTTATTTCATCGTTTAGTACTTAGTGGAGGAAAAAAGTTAATTGAAATATGAAAAATGTTTAGTAAGGAATTATAGTGATTTACCAAATAATGTTGGCTCCAGTCACTTTTACAACTAGAATTTGCTGAAACACCTAGCAATTATTTATACATAGTAAAAAATTGTTGAGTTGGCTAATCAATAAAACATTCAGCTCTTTTAGAAGCATTTTTTAAAACACCAAGCAAAAAAGGAAAAGCCTGTAAACACAAATGCACTGAATTTTATTTCCACTGAATTAAAAAAAATCCCATTAGGTGTTTAACTTTAAACTTTTATTGACTCTAACGTTGTCACCAGAATCCACATAAAATCAGTATTTTTCTACATATGGGCCCCTGCAGAGAGGAAGATCCTTTTTCCTTGCTTGGAAGTACTTGTGTGTCTTAAATAAATGGCTCAAATTATACCTTGTTCATTAACACCCTTAGCAACTGAACTGTTACTAAATGAACAGTGGATTTAAACCATACCCTATAAACAGCAATGTGTAAGAGCACCTAAATAGCAATTTAAATGCATCCGTTTCTGGAAAAGGAATTCTTAAATGATTTGGTTTATATTGAATATTGTGGTTTACCTGATTCAGCATCTCCCCATTATCATGTTTGTGTTCACTGTCATTTTCATGACGAGTTTTCCCTCATATATCATTTTATTTGAAAAAGAAGAAAAGCACAAATCCTATTTTACATTATGATGATCACTATTAGAACTTTATAGGCATGAATAATATTTTTCAACTGACAAAGGAAAAATTCTTTAGGTATCTAAATAGGATAGCTATATTCTGCCTGAGTTAAAAAACACATGTTAAAGTAAATCTATAAAAAAATTGAATAAAGCTTGGAAAAAATTCAGGAAAGAAAAGATATTATTTAAGGAACATTTTACTAGTAACTTTTCAATGATTTTTATTGTTATTTTGATGTTCCCTCAGTAGGGGAGCACCATTAGCCATATTTTAAAAAGGAAAGAAGGCTGGATGTTTATATGTTTGCTTCAAGAGTGAGTTAGTGACTAATAATTTAACCATCAAATCCCTCTCATTAAAGTTCGTCTGTTGCTGTTTCTCTTTAACTGTCCAGTTCCTTATCTAGAGTTACAAATGAGAACATCAGGATATCCCCAGACTGCTTATTCTACCCTTCCTTTCCTCCATTGCATCTGCCCCTTAGGACACTGCGTTTTCTCAAATATTGCTGGAATATTTCTAAGATTTAACTCTTTCCATTTCAGTCCTACCAGGAACTATCTAACTCTTCCTTTGTAGTTCCCATGACCTTCTTCCACTGTGTGTCTGCAAGTTAAGAATATCTATACCTCACTCCAGCAACTAATAACTCTCAGCCTCCTTACAGAAAGATGCTACATTTGAATGATATTATTCTTTCTCAGGACACCTTTATCATAGGAAGAAAGAATTTGAGTGTAATTTTTTTTATTTAAAAAAAAAATTTAAGTTCTGGCATACATGTGCAGAGCATGCAGGTTTGTTACATAGGTATACATGTGCCATGGTGGTTTGCTGCACCCATCAGCCCATCATCGAGGTTTTAAGCCCTGCATGCATTAGGTATTTGTCCTAATGTGCTCCCTCCCCCTGCCCCCAACCTGAGAGTAATTTTAAGAAAAAAGTTGATACTGATTTTGGAAACTCAGTTGGCAAGCAGAGTATGGGGCTGACTGTACATGAAGTACTTGAACTGGATTATCTATATACAAAGTAGGGTAGTAAGTATATTGGGGAGGGTGCAGGGGGAGGAGGATAAAAAAGGAAATAGAGAGGAGATAGGTGTGAGAAAACAGTAGCGGTAAAAGAGTAAAAATAGTGTCTATTTCCAGAAAAGATCTTTCCTGAAAGTCATATGGAGCTGAGTGAGGCAGAAGCTATTATTGCCCAAGTCCATGAGGTCGGTCAGCCGTGGAGACGAAGACCCTTTTACTACTAGAGTCCAATCAGCAGATATTGGTAAAAGTAAGTATACTTTAAAAGAGTCATCTGTTCTCTGCATATTTTAAGTCTGTTTCTTACCCTTTTCCTTACTTCAATGATACCTATTTTTGGATCTGAGTTCTTCAAGGATAAGAAATACATCTGTTATGCTTTATTGGCACAGCACCTCACTCAGTAAAAGAGGATGTTAAATAAATATTATCGAAAGAGGAGAAAATGGAAGAGGAACAGTAAAGATTGATTAATCTAACCTTTTGACCTATTTCTTCTAATAAACCTTTCCTTTATGAGACTAAGTATTAACATACTAGTTTATCTTGTAAAATTTTTTGAAACTGATTGAATATACATAGGAATATTTCAGTCCTCCCCGACCCCAGATACTGCATGTTGCAATTGAAGGGAAGATATTTTAAGTGAATCCCTCACCTAATGGAAAACTATAATTCTGAATGACTTTGATAAGCTGAAAAAAATAAGTACACTGAGCTCTCTGGGGATAAATGAAGAATAATCTGCTTTGTGAACAAAAAAAAGCTTTCAAAAGGGAATGTAAAAAAGTTAGCTATACACAGATATCCATGAAAAGTTAGTGTTTCACTGAAGGAAATCAGAAAATTATACCATCTTGAGACAAGAAATATATTTTAGTCCAATTCCTATGACCTACATATAAGTAAACCAGGATAAAGACAAATTAGATGACTTACCCAATACAAAACAGCTAATACATTGGAACAAGGGGAGTAGATACTAAGTTTCCTGACTCTAAAACCAGTACTCACAAGGGGGAGTGATAAAATGATAAAGACATTTTAATAATAAATAGTGGAATGTGTCCAATTTGGATCTCAACAATTTTTAAAAGACATGAAAAAGTGAGCATAACTTGGCAAGAACCCTCAACAAAGTAACTGACTAAAAGTTTGGGAATTGGGGTTTATAAAGAAAGTTTCAAGACTCATAATTATTAAGACTTCAGGAGAAACTTAATTACCAACTTCAGTTATATGAAGTTATCATATAGAGAATGGCAATCAGACAAGTCTCTTCATCAAAATCAGAAATAGAGAACAGAATTTATGATACCTACTAGTTAAGTATAAGGTGGTTTCCTGTCTAGTTATATGGAAGTTGATTGTTTGGGGGTTATAAAATTCTATTAAAAATGTTGAAGAGAAAAAAAGACCCTAAAATTGATGAGATTAGATCATTGATGACATCACTTTTTTTGGATTATTTTTTATTGATATAAATATTTGTACATATTTATGGAATACATGTGATGATTTTTTTTTTCCCTGAGACAGGATCTCATTCTGTCACCCGGGCTGGAGTGCAGTGGCATGATCTTGGCTCACTATAGCCTTGACCTCCTGGGCTTAAGAGACCCTCCTGCCTCAGCCTCCTGAGTAGCTTGGACTATAGGCATATGCCATCATGCCTGCTAGTTCTTGTATTTTTTTGTAGAGACAAGGTCTTGCTATGTTGTCCAGGCTGGTCTCAAACTCCTGGGCTCAGCAATCCTCCCAGCTTGACCTCCCAAAGTGCTGGGATTACAGACGGGAACCACCATGCTTGGCCATAATTTGTTACATGCATATTGTGTAATGATCAAATCAGGGTATTTGGGATATCCATCATTTTGAGTATTAATAATTTCTGTGTGTTGGGAACATTTCAAGTCCCCTTTTCTAGCTAATAGCTAATACAATACATTGTTGTTAACTGTGGTCACACTACTCTGCTATTGAGCATTAGAACTTATTGCTTCTAATTGTATGCTCGTTATTTATTAACCAACCTTCTGTTATCTCTTCTTTGTCTCCTTCTACTGTTTTTGACATAAAGTCTGTTTTATCTAATTGTATGGTTTGGCGCTGTGCCCCACCCAATTCTCATCTTGAATTGTAATCTCCATAATCCCCATGTGTCAAGGGTGAGACCAGGTGGAGGTAATTGGATCAATGGGGCAGTTTCCCTAATGCTGTTCTTGTGATAGTGACTCAGTTCTCACAAGATCTGATGGTTTTATAAGCATCTGGCAGTTCCCCTGCTTGCACTCACTCCATGCTGCTGCCCTGTGAAGAAGGTGCCTGCTTCTCCTTTGCATTCCACTATGACTCTAAGTTTCCTGAGGTCTCCCCAGCAATGTGGAACCATGAGTCAATTAAACCTCTTTCCTATATAAACTACTCAGTCTTGGGTATTTCTTCATAGCAGTGTGAGAATGGACTAACACATCCTATATAAACATAGCTACTCCTGCTCACTTTTGGTTTCCATTTGTATGAAATATCTTTTTCTGTTCCTTTATTTTCAGTCTATGTGTGTCTTCACAGGTGAGATGTTTCTTGTAGGCAGCATACAGTTGAGTCATATTTTTAAAAATTCATTCAACCAGTCTACATCTTTTAAGTAGAAAGTTTAAACTGTTTAAATTCAAGGTTAATATTGTTATGTGAGAGCTTATTCCTGTCATTTTACTAATTGATTTCTGGCTGTTTTGTGTATCCTTTGTTCCTGTCTTTCTCTCTTATTATTTATCACAGTGGCTTGGTGATTTTCTGTAGTGGGAACGTTTATGTCCTTTCTTTTTCTTATTTCCTATTTCTTTTACTTATCTCTGCTATACCAGTGGGTTTTACACTTTCATGTGTTTGCATGATGGTAGATATCACCCTTTTTTTTTCAGACATAGGATTCCACTAAGCATTTCTTGAAGGATTGATATAGGGGTGATGTATTTCCTCAGCTTTTGCTTGTCTTGGAAAGACTTTATTTCTTCTTTATTTATGAAGGATAATGTTGCTGGGTATACTATCAGTGACTGACAGTTTGGTTTTTTTTTCTAGCACTTTAAATATATTAATCCATTCTCTCATGACCTGTAAGATTTCTGCTGAGAAATGCACTGTTACTGTGATAGGAGGTCCCTTGTAAGTAATGACACACTTTTCTCTTGTTGTTTTTAGAATTCTCTATATGTCTTTTCCTTTTGACAGTTTGACTATAATGTACCATGGGAGAGATCTTTTTGAGTTGTATTTAATTGGAGATCTCTGAGCTTCCCCTACCTGGATGTCTAAATCTCTTGCTAAACTTGGGTAGTTTTCAGCTATTATTTTGTTAAATAGGTTTTCTGTCTCTTTTGTTTTCTCTTTGCTTTGTGAGACATTAAAAATTCAAATATTTGCTTGTTTTATGGTGTCCTGTTTGTCATGTAGGCTTTGTTCATTCTTTTTAGTTCTTTATTTTTAAGTTATTTATTTTTGTCTGACTGGCTTATTTCAGAAGACCATCTTTAAATTCTGTTGGTTTTTCTTCTGCTTGATCTGGTCTATTATTGAAGCTTTCAAATGTATTTTATATTTCATTTAATAAATTATTCAGTTCTAGAATTTCTGTTTTTTTTTTTTACTGCTTGATCTAGTCTATTACTGAAACTTTCAAATGTGTTTTCTATTTCATTTAATAAATTATTGAGTTCTAGAATTTCTGTTTGATTTTTTTTAATGATATCTATTTCTTCGGTAAATTTCTCATTCATACCATGAATTGTTTTTCTGATTTTTTGTATGTTTTTTTTGTATTCTCTTATATTTCATTTAGCTCTTTAGTATCATTGTTTTGAATTCTTTTCCAGGATTTTGTATGTATCTTTTATGATAATTATTGTGTTTTTTTGGAGGTGTCATATTTCCTTGCTTTTTCATGTATCTGCACATCAGGTATTACAGTTGCTTCTTCTAACCTGTTGAATTTGCTTTCTTAGGAGAGAATTTTTTTCTGAAGATGTATCTGTGGTATTGGTTTGGTAGAGCACTTTGGCTTTGATTCTGGGTGTGTGCAGTAGTGTAGTCTCTGCATGATTTCTTCAACGTCAGTGGTATCTAATTTCCCTAGTGGCTTATGGCGTGGTTATTGGTAGAGGCCGTGGTGAAGGTTTGCTGGGAATGGAAATGCTAGGTGGACCTATCTTTGAGCCCTAATGGTGGCAGCTGTAGGCCAAGTGTACTTGTCCTTGGGCCCCAAGGCAGTGTACATGGCACTGGTGTTAGCAAGTCCAGGCAGGCCAATTCTTAGGCCTCCAGGCAGCTTGCTCAGGTACTGGAAGTGGCAGCAGTGGGCTGACCAGGTGGGCATGTTTTCAGTCCTGAGGGTAGTCAGCATGGCATGGGTGATGGCAGTAGCATTGGCAGGACAACATTCTGGCTTCCAAGTGGTTTGTGCTGATGTTGGTGGTGGCTGCAATAGGCTTGACAAGCCAGTTTCCAGGCTCATAGGTGGTACGTGTGGGTGGGTGCCAACTGTGGTTGTAGTGGCAAGTTAGGCAGACCTGACCTCAGGCCCCCGGGATAAGTGCTCAGGTGCCAATGGTGGTGGACTGGGTTGGGCAGCCTCCAGGCCTTCAGACAGCAATCCCATGCACTGGGGGACAGGGGATAGAGCCAGACTGGGTGGACCTGTCCTCAATTCCCACAGTGGTGCATGCAGTCTCTGGCTGTGGTAGGCAGGGGTTGGGTAATCCCTAAGCCCTCAGTGGAGTGCTTTGGTTGGGTGTGGCAATGGCTCTGCTTCAGCCTGCTACTTGGGAGGATGGGGTTGCTTTCAGTGGCAGCAGTCATACAGGTAGCTGGGGAGCGCCCTCTTTACTAGCACTTTGGCCTTGGTAGCAGCAGCCCACAGTGGTGGCAGCTGAAGGTGGGAGAGTTTATGTTCAGGTCTGTGAAAATGCACAGTGGCTTTGCTGCTGGGGGAAGTGGGGTCTTTGCCAATGACTTGTGTTTCAGCCCTAATGCAGCAGTGCTAGTGGGTGGGGTATGTCAATGGGGCTCCAAAGATGTGAACAGGCAGGGGCTGTTGGGCTCCTGGGCAGGAAGCAGTCTGGTGGGGACTGGGCTCTCAATATGGTGCCTTGCTGTAGTTGCTTAGGACTGGGCATGGGGTGGGACCCAGTGTGAGCCTCCCCTCTGCAGCGATGCAGTTCCTCTGTCTCCAGGCAGCTCGCTATACAGTCT